TCTCCTACCCGAGCGCGGTACCGATGCCACCGTGACCAGGATTGAGGAGGAGTTTGTTCCTCCCATCTTCCCTCCGGTATGGTCGCTCCCCTTCACTGCCGCGGCTGTGAAGGCTGGTGCCACCTCGACTTCGATCCCCGCCGACAATGAAGACTCTGGGCTTTCTTCCGCAGAGTCCGACGCCGACGAGGCCGCAATCGAAGAGAAGTTCCTCGAATTCGAGGTGCACAAGATGTTCGAGGAGGAGACCGAGTACCAGTACGGGCCAGTGGCGATCTGGGACGATGACATTGTCAAGCTGTACACGCAGTACACCATCCGAGAGATCGTCGAGCATCTCAATCATGATTTGGCTCGTGGGCGCAACAAACACACCGCCAAATCTGTGAATCAACGCATCGACGTTGTGACCGAGCGGATGGCGTTAAGGCTGGGTCGGGAGAATGAGCTCATGGGGTATCGCGCTGAATTGCAGGAGCTGAGGAGGCAGAACGGTGTTCTCGGGAGGGAGAGGCGGAGGCGTTAGTGCGGTTGTGTCGTAGTGTGGCCTGGCCTGGACTGGAAGACAGAGAGTCTTTGTGAGGTATGGCGGTGAGGGTGCGTTCATGTGCTTGGTATGGTTTCGGCGCTCTGGATGGATATGGTTGATTGTTGGAGAATCCGAGGATTTGAGGAATGTGATACCCCTACAGCATTAGCGCAGCGTGGCTACAAAAATTAATGCGCAGAGCCTATCGCAGGTACAGGCGGCTGCAAGTACAGCATCGCTCAGCGAGAGAAACGCATCATTACCACGCAATCAAAAGTCTGCAAAAGTCTCTTTCTGTGATTCTTCTTGTGGTGAGCAGTCAGTATGGTCTTCGCCATTTAGCATTGTCATTTATCGCTAGAAAGCACGCTCGCTGTAAACCTCCCTCAAAGTAGCCGCTCGCCGCCGTGGCAGAAGCGACCTGACCTTCTTACTGACCGCCATAGCAGCAGTGAAGTATCCTCGTCTTTGACGGCCTACTCCACCTCCATCGCCTCACCACCACCCGGCCTCTTCTCCGTCTTGACCCACTCGACGAACTCATCAATCACACTCGGCCAACTACTCTCCTCGTTCCAGAAGCTCAGGTTCTCGTCATCCATCGCCTGCAGCGCAAAGCTCAGCGTCTGCTTCCACAAATCCCGATTGACCGCCTTCGTCTTCTTCGCCTGCAGGAACTCCACCCACCAATCCAGCCACGGCGTGCTCTGTGTCCGCCAGTCGTACGATGGAGCCGTGAACAGCGTCTGCCACATATCTATCGCGACCTCTAGCGGCAGGGTCTTTGCTCCCTGCGCCAGAGGAAGTGTGAAGGTATGGTTGTAGACGCTCTTGAAACTTTCCTTGTCGTCCTGCAGTGCGCTTCGTCGTTGGAGCACGTAGTTGCGCATCTTAGGGAGGGTGTCGATGTTCACTTCTGACCAGCCGTCAACGAACCCTTCGCGGTTGATTTTGCCGAGGGAGGGCGAGGAGACGATTTCGGAGAAGATGAGGGTGCCGACATCGTCGAGAGGGATTTGGAGCTGTTCGAGGAGTTTGGAGGTACCGCCTATGTCGATGAGGTCCGGCTCGTTTTTGACATCATCGCGGAATTTGTCGAAGGTAGTATTGAGCGTCTTTCGGGCTGGGCTAGGGCCGGTGCTGGTTGGGTTGGTGAAGAAGCTGAACATGTTTGTTAGCTATGTCTTTGTCAATGACTCTGATGTGCGATCCAGTGTTGTCAGAAGATAAGGTATCCGGTAAGTGGGAGCCTCACGCGTTGACTGCGGCACTCGCGTTCCAGTTGTGCTGCTTAAGTAGCTTGGCCGCCGTGCTCTTGTCGACCTGGGTGACACTGATGAAGTCGCTAATCGCTGCTTTCTGCGCTGAGGAGTGCATCGACGGCATAGCGAAGGCGACCAGATTTTCGTAGGTGTGTGCAATAGCGATGTGGTTGTTCAAGTTCAAATCGTCAAAGGTGACGAAGGACGTGGGGTCCAAGATCACTCCATGAGCGAATGAGGAAAGAGGGGCATTTCCGGAAGGCTGCAGCAAAAACACTCACCTCGCTGTCTCGACCACTTGATAGCTGGCAACCCTTTTCTTCTTCATCGGCACCGTCATGACCTCCACAGCGTCGGACTTTCTCTTCCCCATCGTTGCGGTATTTTGGTCGAAGACGGCAGTGTTGCGGAAGTGGCAGCAAAAGGAGAGGCAGGACAATCGCTCGTGCTGTTTCAATGAATAGGAAGTTCACAAGCGGACAAAGTGAAGGCGGGCACGGAGGCTTCGCGAGGCTACCGTGAGCATGAATGTGAGGATTGTTTGTTGCAGCACGAGACAATGGGGGATGGGAGGCAGGAGGCAATGACCTGAAGTCAGGCAACAATCCCCGATGTACCGGCGCACGTCCTTGCCTTGTGAGGTGCATATGAAGATCTCGATGCTGTTCCTATACATGATAGACGTATGAACACGAGATTCACCTACTGACCGACCTTGTCCGAAGGCTCGTGGGAATTGGTGGCATTGGTGCTGAATCGTGGCTTGCTGTCCTCTAGAACACGATGTTTTGGTATTGCTTATGCAACATGGTTGTTGCCGACCCTTGGTGTTGAGATGCAGCACTCGCTCATTGTTCATCCCACATACAGCAAGATGCGAAGCGCGTTCCTTCCATTTTCGTCTGCTGCCTGAGCTTAGCTGAACTTCAAAGTCCGGGGACTCATTCATCAACACTACTGACACTGACACTGACACTGACACTGAATCAACGCAACATGACGAACAAGCAACAAGGCAGCACGAACATGTCGCTCAAGCGTCCTGCGGCAAGATGCCCGTTCATGTTCAAGCGACGAAGCTGACCTCGCGACAGACCAACGCCGCACCAATCGCACCACCACCGATAAAGCGTTAGACCATGCGCCAAAAAGTGGACGCCATGACTCCTGAAGACTGCGCTACCGAGCGCCTAGAGCTCGAGGCAGTGCTCAAAGATATGGAAGCAATGCCTGAACCCGATGAGCGCCAGGACATCATCGATGCACTCGAGAGCGGCACACACGAATTGCTCCTCGAGCGCAATGGAGCGACAAACACGAAGTGCCGAGCCGAAAAGTGCGTGGTCCAAGCAGAGTGCAAGCAGCAATATGATGAGAATATTACCGGGCCGTATCGTATCAACCTCAATGCCATCAAGCCAAGTTCACGGCACTGGTCAGAAATGGAGAAGCCCAATCGAAATTTTTACCATCTGAGCTGTTTCGAGGCCATCGGTGTGGATATGGTCAAATACCTCAAGTTTCATGGTAAGCCGCTTCCACACACCGTGACAGACGCAGATCGTCTTTCACATGGTGTCGTCGGTGTGACATCCGGGAGAGCCCATACGTGGACCAATGCTGACCGATCATGCAAGGCACCAAAACCGTCAAGACGAACGACGTCTGCGAAGTCATCATGACCGTCCCCGATGGGATCCCCTACTGCGCTAAGCAGTGGGCGGCCAACGACGGTGCCTGCTGGCCATCAAAGCTGTATGACAACGACAAGTTTCACGCAGCCAAAGAGGAGTACAAGCGTCTACAAGAGGCCCAGAAAGTGGGAGAGCCCGACCCGGCGAAGCCCAAGATACAAGACTTCCTCACAGCCGATCAAATGTGCGCGGGTACCCTGTCGCAGGTGCTGCTCGATAATATGGGCGCTTGTCACCTGCTCCGGCTCAAGAGCAGCACATTGATGCACATCCTTGAGGTCTGGGGTCGTGTGCCAGACGAGCTCACGAGGGAGACGATACAGGCGAAGCTGGACAAGCAGGCCGCCGAGCGGAAGGAGAAAGAGGGTTCCGGTGGTGATGACAAGCATGCTGCCGCTGAAAGTGCGTCGGACGAGAGTGCCACGGGTGCTACAACCATTCGCGAGACGTTGACGGTCGGTGTTGAGAGCGCATGAGTCGTTGCTGGTTCGGACATTGATATGGCGCGATAATGCTGTGTAGATCGTAGCTGCGCTTCGCTGTTCTGCTTAGATGCTGACGAATAGTACTGGTACGACTGAGACGACCATTCGCAAAGACCTTGACTTTCCATTCCTTCTGCTTCTCGTGATCGTGGGATTGAGATAGATTGGTGGCGTAACGCGAAATGCACGCGTCGCCTTCATACCACTTGCGGCATGAACGTCCGATACATGTAGTACAATACATCGACACTCCAAGATGTCTTCAGGTCAAAAGCGTGCGGCGGTAAGTCGTGCTAGGAGATACCACGAGACCACCAAGCTGACTCCACACAGGACAACGACGCATCAACTGCGCCAAAAGGCAAGAAAAGGGCCACGAAACAGAGCCGAAAGGGACGAGAGGTCGATGCTCCGCGTCCGGCGCCTACGCCAGAACATACCACAGCGAAGGAACGCAGACTAGAGCAGATCCGTCAAGAAGTCCTGGCCATGATACCAGATGAGCTCGAAGAGATCAACGAGGAGCTCGAAAGTGGCTCATTTGATTTGTACCTGGAGTGCAACCATACCGGAAGTGCGAAATGTCGGGCCAGGAAGTGTGTCGTTCGAGCTACCCACCAGATGTATGGCGACAAGATCATCTCGAAGTACAGGGTAAGTGGTGTGGATGTTCTTGCACTCACCTATAAAAGCTGAAGTCCACTCCATCACTGTCAGTTCAACGTGCAAGCTTCCCAGCCAAACAGTGCCCACTGGTCTCAACTTGACACCCCAAATCGTCGCTTCTTGGTCCAATGGTAAGATGCCCTGCTTGGCTGTTCAGTTGCGTCCTCTACACCGCCGTCCACGCCGAACTGGGCAGTGGTGATACTGGTTCAACCCCGGTCATTTCCAGTTTTTTGGTGTTCCTCGTGCTGCATCTCAGCTCACTTGGCTGTTGGTATCAACAGTGTCATCCTGCCCTGTTCGGCGGGAGCTCGGATCGTCGTTTTAACATTGATCTGTCGTGTAATTACCGAAAACCGTTATTGGGGATGTGGTCCAATGGTTAGGATACTGCTCGGTTGGTACCGCTTTGCAGTACTGTCGTTGGGAGCGTACACGCTTCCTCACGCGGGGTGACCCGGAGCAGTGATGATGGTTCAAATCACGCCATCTCCAGGCTTTCTTTTGCTCACCTTACTCGCCTATTGCTCTGCTTGTAAAACCTGTGTAAGTGACAGGCTCGCGAGGAAGCGATCTGAGGAGAGAACATAATACAAAAGCGCGCTTAGACTCTAGCGACGCCCAGAAGGTTGATATACTACACGTTGTTCTGCTCCGATACTTCTAAAGCGCCGGAGCTGCGCCACCTGGTGCTCCTTGTGTGAGTAGCTAGGCCGAAAGTTAGCATGTGATTCACTTTGACTTGTTTGCTGCTATCTGCTTACCCCCTGCGCATTCTGTTGCATCCTCATCTCGCGTTCCATTTCCTGCACCTGCTGCTCTTCACTGAAAGCCAGCGCCCACGGTACACCCAGCAGCAATGCTGAAGTGCTGATCACCCACAACGCACTCCCGCTGAAGCTCGCAGCTCTCGCTCCCCATGTGTAGCCGGTGGATGTGGCATCTGAGAGACTCTTGCGGTAGGTGGGCGGGATGATATCTTTGAGGGCTACAATGCGGTCGAGCAAGGTTTCATCTTCGGGGTCGTCGTCTTCAACATCGGAGACCTCTGATTCTGCAGCTACCATTAGACGGCGTTCCAAGCGCGGTAGTCATTGAGTGCCCTGCTAACCATCATCCGTATCCCAGTCCTCCTCGTCATCCTTGGTTGGGCCTGGTTGCGAGGCGTGAAGCTCCTCGTCCGGGACTTCTTCGAGCTTGACCATTGTGGAGGTAGTGAGTTATGTGGTTCCAGCGCAGGAACTGTGTATGTGGTAGGATTGACGGCTGGTATGTGCTTGATGTTTCACGCGAGAGCTTTCTCCTTGAATGTCGTCGGGGGTGCTCGGCGCCGGCGAAACATCTCGGGCTTAGCCGTTGAGCCGCATACGTCAATCTTAACGACGACGACGACAGAAGTTGGAAACACGAGACGAGAGCGATGAAAAGCCATCCTCTTATAACATAAAATGTCAAAGCAGCCCGCGCACCCAACGACAAGTGTACAAGAAGTCATCACGGTTACAGACATCACAAATCAGATTCTGAGTATGCTGCACTGATGATATGCAATAGCTTGGCTGACTGTGCTACGTATACGAGTAGCTAATGCTCAAGTCCTCTTCCCACGAGAGCAAGACCTGAAAGTCGTCTCGGCACAGGCACAGTCCGGTGTAATGCACTATGCCTCGCTTGTTGCGAGCGATCCCAAATCCGCGAGTGTACACAAGGTAAGACCTCTTCGTTGATGTGTATGCAGGCCGAAATAACAGTCGTTGCAGGAATACAAAGTCGTTTTGAACGGCCCTGGTGAGAGGTACCGCCGTGAGAGCATGATGGGACTCCTCGATGAGACCGAGCGTCGTGTTGCCAAGCAGATCCTGAAGAAGTGAGCCACCAGTGTGACTGCCTAAGCGGTGTCTTGTATCTAGATCGTTGGAGGATGTGTCGTAGATCGTGAAATGCAAACTTCGATTACAAGGGTCACATCAGCCCTGCATGAGTTCAGTCAAGCTCGCCCTCTAAAGTCCATTGCGAGCGAGAGGCTGCACAACAATAGCGAAAGCAGGATAGACCGTTCAGAGTGAACTTCGGTCGCGTGCGCTGTCGATTGTGTCGCTCGATGTCCTGGGCGAGGGCGGTCGTGTATATTTGTCCTTGTTGTTGAATGCTCAGGATCGGCCTTCGAGCTCTACTGAGCATTCATCACACTTCTGAACCAGCAGCACCATTTGGACTGAGGCGCACAGTCTGACCATTCCAGAACTGGCTTCACCACCGGGCTGCAGACATTGCGCTTCGTTCAAGGCAGCGCATATGCGTTGATCGAGGAAATACCGCGATTGGCGCTGGCACCCTAGGCATGCTTCTCCGCTGCGTGACGAATCTCCGTCAGACTGTCTGCGCATGGCATGTAGCAGTGGCTTGGACGAGAAGAGAGCCTGCCAGGCATGCCGGTATGTTTGACCCGCGAGGTGCGTATCATGATACCCTCAGCGAGGAACCAGCAATGTCTTGACTCTGTCAATTCTCTTGGTAGCAGCGTCCAATTTTTCGAGCCTGCGCCTGCGGTCTCTGTCTCGCTGATCCAGGAGCTTGACTCTATCTCTAAGCCTCTTATTTTCGTCCCGCAAACCTTCTACATCTGCATCGACACGCTGCTCAGCCGCCTGTTGTTCCATGATCTGCAGCTTGTCCTGCAATGCAGCTGTCTCTTGCCGGGCTGAGGACACCATCTCGTTTGCTTCTTGAAACAGTGTAGCACTCAACTCCTCGACCTCAGCTTCCAACGTCTTGACCTGCTTCTCTGCTGCGAGACGCTGGGTACGCTCCTTTATGAGCTCTCCCTCAAGCTCTTTCTCTCGCGCAGAGGCTGTTTGAGCCATGCCATTGTTGCTAGGCCCAGCCTTGCGCGAATGCATGAGGCTACCAAACCGCGAAAGAGTGGGCTTCTCGGGTACTAGCACTGGCTGCGTCTCATCACTGGTATTCTCCTGGCGATGCTGCAGGCGGAGCTTGGCTTGTAGGACCCGTATTTCATTCTCGTAGTCGGCGAAACGTTGTGCTGCAAGCCGGTTAGTGTTGGCTGTCATGCTGCGGACGATGGACCCATCAACATCGTACATCACTGCTCCATACTTACAAGCATTGTTGGCCTTCTCGGCAAGAATTCTCACCTCGTCTTCAAGCTCCCTCATCTTCACCGCATCGCCCGCTGATTCCAGGCCGAGACCAGAATCGTGGGGAACATGCGATCCCGTCGCTGTTCCATCCTGTGCCATATCGCGCGTTCATGTGCCAGACTAGCTGACGACGACATTGGTGTGAGCGATAGCAAGGTGGCATGTCGCGCAACAACGCATGTGAAACGCTACACGAGACCCTGAAGTCTGATTGAGGCTTGGCGAGCCGGCAGTAGCCGCATTGGATATGTCCATCCATTGACTAATGTACGATAAAGAAGCACTACTTCTCCAGTCTCGCTGCTCTTCGCGATGAACTCTGCAAGGCCGTCCCTCAGCGCCCTCATCCTTGGAGTTGAGTTTAGAATCTCAAAATCCTACCTCTCGACATGTGACCGACAGCGATCAAAGGTGCCCGGCAATGTTGACTGGACGAGTTCAAACGCCGAGCACGAAGACCATGAGCATACTCGAATCGCAGCGATCGGTTTCCGTTTCGTGCTCATTAGTAGTACTCTGGCTGAATCCTCGACAGCAACGACAACGAGTCTGTGTCAATTCAAGCTTCCAACGAACTCCGGTTGATCAGACGCTTGGAATCTCGAGAAGGGCCGTTGCCCTTGAGGTGGCCGAGTCTGCTTTTACGAGCGCTCTGACAATCAAGGAGTATGTTCCATGCTTCTTTCATACGCTACAAGATCCCATTTTGGACGCAACAGTGGAATGCAACTCGACAGTGATGAGTTCATCGAGTACGTTCTGGTTGCAAGTACGATATGTAAAGAGAGTATTGTTGAAGGAGTCAACGTAATAATGCAAGCGTTCGTAGGGGAAAGGAACTTCGTTCCTCGTACAAAGCCTCGCCCTTGTGTGAGCTGCGGAGCAGGATGCGACTCCGCAAAGTGGCGTAGATTAAGTTTGCTTCCTGGCGAACAGATCGTAGAACCTGCATTAGCTTACCTTCCCCACACAACGCACATGGTCACTCCACCGTGCACTTCGTGCTTGTACATTTGAATCAGTGATTTGGCTCACCCTCCTCAGAACCAATGCAACTGCTGCGCATCCAGCATGGAGAATAGGCGGCGGGTGCGCCAAGACCATACCGCAGGTTACGCGCATTCAACGCGGGATACACCCGAAAACAAGCAGTGCCGTGTTGCCCTCCCGATTCTGCTGTGTGAGCGCGAGCCCCACGGATGTGCGATGACTGTCCCGGATCGTTACGATTTCGGAAGTTCGCGATAGCAGCCGGCAAAGCGGCTGTTGCTGGTAATATCCCTGATTTGCGGGATCATTGGGTTGGGATGTCCGATACGCTTCTCGCGCACGCCGCAGATGCTTGGGTTGCTCGTTCTGAGAGAATCGACGATGGGGGCGTCTCGAAGGAACACCAATGTCCTCGCATCCTTCAAAGTCGTGGTGTTGATGATGGCGAGAGGTGTCGTGTCAGACTCAGAGGCAGCATGTGCAAGGTTCAGCTCGACAGCATGGGCGCCAAGCCTGCATCGACTCGTTCGGTACGATGCCGAAGCTCGGGGTTGCTTGGCCTTGGAGAGAGGTTTTGAACATCACTCAACGCCGTGTTGCGCGTGGGGCGAACACGCCACTCATCCAGCAGGTAATAGTTTGGTCTTGCTTGCCCGTCCACGTTTAATGCGAAAGTAAATCTCGCCGGGGAGCCAGCCGCGAAAACGAACCAGGTCGTTTTGGCGGGGTGCGACCCACTTTACCACGAGCGAGTTCCCGCACGGCCCTGACGCAACACCGCAGCGGAGGAAGCTCCGACCTCAAGCAGGAGCTCGGGAATTTCATCGTCAGAAACATCTGCTTTGCGCGTTAGATACTCCAGCGTCCAGTCCACAAGAGCAACACCACGTCCCAAGCGCGGCAGCAGCAGACTCGAATCGAAACCGCGACCTCTGACACAACTTCACCGAGCTTTGCCGTCTCCACACCCAACCGGGAGCGTCCTAAAATCGATTTGCCACCTCAGCAACATCGCACCTACCTTTTATCTCGAGCCATTGTGAGGTTCTACGAAGGCGAGCAAAGTCACGTCTTACAGGTGACAGCTCCAGGCACCTCGCTCTTGCCAGTGACGGCTTTCAGGCCTCTGTCCTCATCGTCAACCACGTTCGCCACCAGGGTCCAGAAAATTCTAGAAAGCCAGCATCCATCTCAGATACGCAAAGGTCTCAGCACAGAGCCCCCGAAGCACAAACTGCGTAGCCAGCATGTCTGGCACACCATCTCACCAGTCTGAGAGCGCCTTTCAGCAGGCGCTCGCCGACCCTGCTTTTGATCCGCAGCCAGGCTTTGACTTTGCTGAGG